GGGGGGGGGGGATAAGACGAAAGAGGTATGGAGAGAGGGGAAGGGAGGAATTGCAGGCTGAGTGGTGGACCATCAAACCGTCTATCGCCCGGTTGAACCGGCAAAACGAGAGAGCCATGTGGGGGAAACATATGTGTGTGAGTTGAGGTGATGGCTGGCGCTGGTTGAGCGACTGTCCGTCGTACAAATGGTGAGTAACAAATAAATCAACAGGATTATTTTCTACGCGTGCGTCGGCGGCATGAGCGTCAGAAAACCTCAAACGTATCCGGTTTCATGTATCGGGATTTTAAGGGCACAGTCACAAAATTCACGGAGGAAAAAACAAACGCCATTTGCTGTACTGCACATCAAAGGCTTCGCGTCTTTCCCCTCTTGGCCCTTACATTTATTTTAATGAAGCTCTCTAATTGGATTAATTTGCGGTCCCTACCGGAATTGGTCCCTGCCATTGATCTGCTCCTGTTTGATGGAGAGCACGACGGGCCCCAGGTCCTCGTCGCTCGTGAAGTAGTTCCAGTGCTCGGTGCCGTAGAAGTACTTCTCGTACGTCTCCTGCTCCACGGAGGTGAGCTCGAAGCACTGGTTCTTCTCCCACTGCTCCTCGATGGACGTCTTTTGCCGCGGCGGCGGCTCCGTGTACGAGTCGTCGTCCTCGCCGTCCTCCTCCACCAGGCACGAGGACCGCCTGCCATCCTCGTCGTCCGCGTCGTCGTCTGCGAGGACAGAACGACACACGGGTTCCGAGAGAGGCCAGTGGCTTGCTGCACCTGCGCTACGGTCTACGTAAAGTGTTAGGAAGTAAAGGACGATTGGCATGCAGGATAACGAGGTTGTTAGGAATACTTTCTCCACGATTGTTTACACGATCGTGTTTGAGAGAGATAAATAGAGAGACCATTGAAGCTTTGGCAAGAGAGAAGCAGGCTACATGATAAGAAGATTTCGGTTAGCGCACAAACAAACGGCTTTAAGCTTTTCGATATTACGATCAGGGATGACTTCGAGATCTCGAAATCAACAAGGCTGTCGTTGAGCGGAGCACTACAAGAACTATTGTGAAGACAAAAGCAAAACACCGCTACAGAATATGGAGGACGGTACCGCCTTCATAATGGACTCATTTTCTGCGTGCGTACCGAGGGGAATAAGAGTGAGGGTGGCCGTGGTACTTCTAGCGGTGGGGGTTCCCTATTTCAATGCAACAATTAAAGAATAATCAACATATCCTATTCCCTTTCTACCACATCAAACGAACATAATATCAGTAACGATGCATTCCTAAAAAAGATTACATTCTAAATTGACAAGGACAATTTTGTCCCCAAATTCCTCGAGCTATGGTGTTTCTAATTGCAAAGACATTTAATATTAATTTCGTAAAAGTTACGTATCCAATTACAACTACGTAAAATCGCCCTCACTTTGACTGTTTGAAATAAACAGTCACCAAAAAACATGCCTTTTTGAACGACATCTCTTGAGAATGACGGGATGGATGGCGAACAATGTCACCCCATCGCCAGGGAAATACTGACTGAGGCTGTGTGTCCTACAAATAGTAATGTCGTTTCGGTGCTGATATGATTTGCAGGTCGATACGATGCCCGCGAGCCAAGGCCTGGACGATGACAGTCCAAACAACATCAACAGAATGGCGGGGAGGAGGGGGAGGGGGGCGCTCTCAAGGACTAAAGGGTCTTTGGTTTCCGACGTTTGTTTATTTTACGGGAACGCGCGGCGGCGGCGGCGTAGCCAAGACTGTTGAAGAGAGACAGACTATCTATATACGGAGCATGAGAGAGTGGAGCTAAAAAAGGGAGCGTGGGTGGGTGGCTGTCATTGTCTCTCCTACACACTGACACACTGGAGGTCCTATGGCTAGGCCGCGGCATACGAAAAAGGGAGGTGGGGGTAAGAGGGAGAAGGGGTACGGAGGACCCGTGCAGGCGTTGGAGAGGGAGGGGCAGGG